CAGCACATCTCTGGTGCACCCCTTCTCTGCAAACTTTTAAACCTGGCTCCATGACTGCCCAGAAGCTCTCATTTCTTCCTCACATGATCTCCTCCATGTCACCCTCACCACGGACGCCCAACTCGTCGCTTCCCATCTGGGTTCCACTCAAGGGCCAGGGCCTGACGAGTGACGTCCCCAGTCGGCCTTCTCAGTGTATGCCCAATCCACCTCCACTTCCTTTCAATACATATTTGTTGGGTTATTGGTTCTTGGTTGGTTCGTTCCCTGAGTTCCTTGTTGCTTAATCTGACTATTCTGGCCATCCGATCTTCAGTAACGAGCTAGCGTAGGCAGTTGTTGATGAATGTCTGTAGTTTGTTGGAAATCCCTTTCGTAACGCGCCAAGTCTCTGAACCATCACATACAAGCACTGACTTGACATTGGTGTTGAAAATCCAGATCTTGTTCCACATGCTGAATGTAGAAGATCTCCACAATGGTTTCAGGTTAATGAACGCCTGTCTTGCTTTTACGACCCTGTCTTGCTTCGATGTCCTCGTCTGTGCCTCCTGTAGTTGAAACAGTGCTGCCTAGATAGGTGAAGGAGGCCACTTCCTTTAGGTTCCACCGTTGATGGTGACTGAAGCTTGTTGTTGTTGATGGTGCTGTTGTTGGTTGGGTATCTTCATCACCTCTGTCTTCTCTGTGTTCACCTGAAGTCTCGTCTTCCTTCTCTGCCCTGCCTCCTCTGTCAACTTGTTAGTTTTCGCCTGTAGATTTTCAAGTTTGTGTTACATCAGACACAAGTCATCGGCGAAATCCAAATCTTCTTCTTGGGTCTTTTCATCGGTCAAACAGCGTATCCCCTTCTTCTTGCTCCTCACGACTTGCCACATGATCCAGTCGACCACAATCACGAAGATCATCAGTGATAGTACACACCCCTGGCTTGTCTTACTCCTGTCTTCACTTCAAAGGCGTCACTGAACTTTCCATTGTGAATCACTTGACATGTACCATCATCATATAGCTGCAGTTGAATGAGGTTGATAAAGGTTAGTGACACTAGAACGGTAGTGTTGAGGCAGCTACCTGACAAATCACTTCTCGGTCGTCGCTATGCAAGGCCTTATCAAAGCAGACGAACTTGAGATAAAGATGCAGTTGACTGCCATTCTATACTCTGTTTTATGATGATTCGTAATGTAGCGTTGCAGTTTGATCCGCACATGATCTGTTCTTCCTGAAGCCAGCCAGCCACCTTGTTCCGGCGCATCCTGTAGCCTCTCCAGAATGATGCGGCATAATATTTTGCTTGCTTTGCGCGGACAGGAGTGGAGCATGATTCCTCCCCAATTCTCTCGGAGACTTAGGTCACCATTTTTTGACAGTTTGACAAGGTAGTACTTCATCCGAATCGCAAGTACCTTCCCTTCCTTCCAGACCTTCTGCAATAGTTGTGTGAGCATGTTCGCTGTTGTCTTTGTGTCTGTTTTCAGTGCTTCTGAAGGAATTCCATCTGATCCTGATGCTTTCCCACCTTTCAGTAGCCTTATGGTATTCAGGACTTCGACTTTCGTCGGACGGTTTGTGTTCACTGGTCGTTCTGTGGCTGGGCTGCAGGTGGTGGTCAATTCAAAAGCTTTTTGAAGTGGTTGGCTCATCGTTTCCTTTGTTCCTCTTCTTTAGTAATTATACTTCCTTCATCATCTTTATTGGTTTCATCTGTGTTGATCTTTTCCCAGATAGTAACCTGGTTATTTGATACAATGTTGTCAGGTCTCTGTCTCTCCTATCTGTAGCCTGTTCTGCTTCACTTGGCAATGCGTTGTAGAAGTGTCTTTTGTCTTTCCGTGCATTATTCTCTAATTCTTTGTCCTGTGTTTTATACATTGCACTCCTTATTTGTAGGTGCTTAGTATTGTATGATTGTGACTTTCCTCCCTTGCTGTCATCATCTCGATCCTGGAGGAGGAGATTGGCTCCCAGTGCATGAGAGAAAGCCTTCGATGTTCTTGAGGGCATCATGATAGCCACTCCCTCAGTGTGAACATGGTTGTCGTCTGGGTGACAACATCAGAGTAGATTATTGACTCCTCTCCAGTTGACAGTTTGGAGTGTCCACTTCCATTCCATCTGCTTATCCCTCGCAGATTCCAACCACTTCAATACTATACCTCCTCATCCGTTTTGCAGTCTGAGCAGCCTTGCCAGCCAGCTTCAAACATGGTGCGGACATTTCATGTCCCCATGTTTACTTTCGCTTTCATCGAGAGAAGCGAAGACACCTCGTCCAATTGCCTTCTACAAGGCTTTCACCAACTGGCATCATTTCGTCCCTCTGATTCCAGTGAGGAATAAGTTTGTTGTTACTTTTTATAGTTGCTTTGTGGTTTGAAGTTTCTTTATCGATTGGATTGGTTTTAGGTGGTAGGGGTAGTGTTGCTAGCCGTATGCCCAACCTTTCCCCTTTACCCTGGGTTAGGACCGGCTAGTAACTAGCGAAGTAGTTAACAGACGAGGTTATAATTATCACTAACCATGACAAATTCATATTGAGTGACAGAACAATGAAATCACAGCGAAGAATTGTTTCTTCTTCACAGTTCCACTTACTAAAGCTGTTCAATCATATTTATGATCATTGGAAAGATATAATAGTCTGTTTATAATCAATTGGGATGCGTGATTACTCTAATATTTAAAGGAGACAAACAAAAGGTCACAATGAGGCTGCCGAGTGCACGTAATGTTTTCGAATGCTGGTATCAAGTTTTTGATTCCGATTTCCCAATGATTCACCTTTGAATAGACAGCGTAGTCGAAGTATTTTGAAACTGTAGGCGACAAGTCATAAAATCTTGGACTGAACTACTGAGAGGAGCCACATGTCTGCAGGTGATGAATTACTTAATAACAGGACTGTTGATACTGATTTCCTGTTATCTGAAAAATGTTCAAAAATACTTTCACGGAGTTAATACTATGTACGGTGGATGTACTTTGTTTTATAGAAAAGAGCAAAATGACAGTCCTGAACTCAGTGTTCTGTCCTTAACATCGGAGAAAAACTTTTCTTCACTGTCATGTCCTTACTAAGTGACTGAATGTCGAGATTTCTTTTCCGTTGAGGAAAGAGATGCATATATAAGTAGATTTTTTCACTTATGTCTCTAAAACTGGGTCAACTCATGATATTTTCCAATGAAATGTTTCCCCCTCAGGTAATCACTTGTTAAAAAGAACAATTATCCACTAGAGGTCAGGCAACTTCACATTTCTTACGCCTAAATGCTGACTGAACTCAGAGTGTTAACTTGCAGTGTGATCGATCAGCCTGGAGACTGACTCACAATCTCTGTGTAATTTGATTCGTTTATGTAGTTGTCTGTAGCTCTGCTTGATTAAAGGTGTGTTTCATGTTTAAGGGAGCTCATCAGTGGGAGATTATGATGCGGGTGAATTAGAGTTAGACAACATCAAGGCAACCAGTACTTAACCCGAAACCTTTAACTGAAATGCTAAATTCCTTTCACTAGAGCTCTATGCTTTCCTGCTGCGTGGATTACCAACTAAAATCACAATCAGTCAATTAGAGAATAATCTCATATTAATTGCTTAGTTAGCATATAAGTTGACAGAAGTTCACTGGAATCTTTGGATATATGTAAAGAAAAATATGATACTAACATACCTGACATCCAGTAATTGTTTTCTTCTACTCAACTGTGTACCAAGTGTAAACACTTCTGTTGACAGTCTGAATTTGATTAAATGGCACGTATGTCGACAATTTTTTTACTTTGAGGAGTAATATAATAATTACACTGAAATTAGTAAACGTAAATGTATACTAATGTGGATAAATTTTTCCCTACACGTATGCATAATGTTCATTTTAAAACTAATTTAGAAGTGAAATAAAATCTAGTCAACAGTCATGCATCGTAACCCAATTGGTAAAGCATCGAACCAGAAACACTGTAGTCAGTGGTTCGAATCACACCGTGGCTCAAATTTCCATTCCACCTGCAATCATCACTAATACCAACACGAGTCTATCAAACCACAGCTCTCAGTTAGTCAAAATGATAAGTTAGATTCAACCAACTGTATACATCTTTCTCTATATCGGTTGCAAGAAAGGCATTATTTAGGAACAATCTTTTTATCAACAAATTATCAGTGAAATGTAAAGTATGTCATGAATGCATGTATATGTATCTGCGACACTCTGTTTCCAAGTCAGCCAGAAGGAAATCATTATTTTATCACCTACAAATATATGTGAAACTGCTACCAAGTTTATGACATAACGAGATAAATGCTAAACCTTACTTTATATTATCAGTTACCTGAATAAACAGATGTGTGAAAACTGTTATTTATTTTATTTTACTTTATTGCAAGGCAAATAAATAATTTAACACCATCTAGCTTGAATTTTTTTTTTTTTATAGGAGAATGTTTTTAAAAATATACATACATTACTGACTGACTGCTTGACTGTTGTATTGATTGGCTGATATAAGCGTGTAAACATGTGTGCAACTGTATGTTGGTAGCGTGTCAGCTGATTTTTGTCAAGAAAATAAAATAAGGCTAATATAATTTGAGGCGATATAATATGCATGAATAGTAAGAAACGCAAACAGGATAAAGATAGAAAGTAGTAAGCTTATCCACCAAGGGGTAATGTTGAACAACCAACAATTGAACATTGAACCACTGAAAATTATTAACACTCCAGGATCTTACAATGATTTGCGTTTCGCTTTAGTTGACTGGAGTTGAAAGCATGCCGTTTTGACTATTTGGAGGAATATTACACACTGATTTAGGCTTACCGTCAATCATTAAAATCAATAAATCTGAATTGTTTTTATCATTTATATTATCATGATAATCATGAATATTATTATTAAGAATATTAGTATTGTTCATAGTTATATTGCTATGACTGAGTAGATGATTTGAATAAAGATTCGATTTTGTAATAAGTATACCATCCATTTGATTTAATTGTTACGAAAATAAGGCAGTATTTGTGTACTTGTTGTACGATTGAACAAATAATAATCACTACTATTATTACGAATATTACTATTTTTATTGTAATTATTATCATTATTACTATCAATACTATAAGGATACCTTTTATACTTCTGCATAAAATATCTGTCCAGCGTAGAATATGACTCTGGATTATCGGATTCAATATCGGTGAAATCTGTTTGACTGCCAATACTACGCCGTTTTGACATGTACGATTTTCGACAAGGATAATGATTACGATTATGAGGATGATAATTATTAGGCTTGTTCGAGTGTATTATACTATAGAAAGTGTTGTATTTATTTGAATTTATTGATCTTTGATCTTTAAGACTGATTATACTATATCTAGACGCTGCAACACCATTAGTAATTGACGGATTAGTTGTGGTTCGTAGGCTGTTGCATGAACTATGTGCATCATTTCTGCGATGATGATTATTATTCGTCGTAGGGGTTTTGACCATAGCAGCAGCAGTAGTAGTAGTGGTAGTTGTGTCTGTTATGTTAGTAATGGTCGATGATAGTAATTCAGTTTTTTCTTTTGACAGACTAGTTTTTTGGTGAGAATAAAAATCCACTGGAGGTTGAATTTGAGCTGACTTCTTCTTCCTCATCTTCGTCTTCTACTGAGGAGTTCGGTTGTCACAGACATGGAATAGGCGTAGTGGTGTTATTGATGTTGTAGACTTGTTTGTTAACGCAAGACTAGTAAAACGCTTTCTTATACAACAAAATATGATCAAAACAATAATAATAAAGCTTACTGTAATAATTGTACACCATATAATCAATATAATAGATAGAGATAAGGTATGTTTACTTTCAGATTGTATAAATGTAATTGTTTTTAATTGTTCAATAACTGGAATGTTGAATGAGGATTCTGATGGTGACTGATTAATTACACCTTTATTCAATCACTCGAACCCTCATGATTCATGGTGATTAGGTCAGATTGTTTTGGACAACCAATACCATCTATGATAACTGGACAGGTGTATGGAAATATCATGCTTAATTTAGGTGAAATCTGTTGTCCAGTTGACGGTAGATCACGCTTACTTGTAAACACGATGATAATCAGGTTATCTGTCTTTTGTATACTTCTAAGACTTTTACTACCGCTACTACTACTACTACTACTACTACTACTACCACTCCTGCTACTGCTACTGTTACCGTCAACATCACTGCTATCAGACTGTAAATCACACTGATGACACTTTGTATTCAGATTAAAACTAATAGGTACTGTATTATCCAGTGGATGTAGACGAATAAATGCAGGTTTCTTGATAGAATCAGGCTTCACAAGATCGTCCACTTCCATCATATAGGTATCATTTTTTGAATTATCATTAACCCCATGATCATCATCATCGGACAAGTATAACGGTGTTTGCCCACTTTCAATTTCAAACGATCTTAAATGCTGTAAGTCAATCAAGCTATCCGGATGCATGTAAACTGTATTCAGCAGACGAATATCTGTGATCAGTCCACCTAGATCCTGAAAACACTTCGCATCTAAGCGTACCATATTTAAGTTTATATGAAATTCTAACTGACCACTACGAGATAATGGCTGGTTGGATATTGAGGTAGCTTCTAATAAATGACCTAATGCACCGGGAGTTATTCCACGAACTGATTCTTTATGTCCTAAAATAAGTTCACCTGTTTCAATGTTTCTTTCACATCGAATAAGAGATTTTTTCGATGACGTCACACTGATTTCCTGGGAAATGCTACAATTCACCATATCACCAGAATCATTGTCAATAAACATTGTATTGGACATTGATCAATAGGATTTGAATATTTTGTATCTAGTATATTTTCATTAGTGATCGACTCATCATGAATTTCTGAATTATTTATAAGAAAACGTTTCGGATAGTATTCATTCGATTGACATAATTGAAACAGTACAAGTATTCCAAGTAGAGTGAAATGGTGAACAGTGCGATGCATTCCAGGTATTTTTTAGAAGTATCCAAGAGATGTTATTTGAATTGTTCTTGTATGGTATTCCAGATTAAATTTGCAAGCTCCCATAACTGCATGACTTCCATAGAAAGAGAAACAACCACTGAACACCGGTGCTATGAATGAACTGTTGTCATTTTTGTCTTTATTGTTAAGTAGGTGGATATTAATTTAAAAGTAAGAAGTACTTGGCTGTACAGGTGAGACTGAAGTCTCTGTTCCTATTGGTCATTTCATCCTGACCAATCAGGTGTTTGTGACCTTCAATGGACGAATACTATTATTAGTCGGGGATAGAAGTGAACAATTGCTGTTTTTTTAAAAAAACGAGAGAATTAATTCATAATTCTTGCCAGAAAGCAGTCAAAACAAATTATTTTCTTTAAAAACCCCTATACTTCCATCATTCTCCGAAAAATACTTCATCAGTCGTTGTGGAAAACGACTAAACGGTTTAAGTTAGTCATATTAATGTAAACGATTTTATACTTTCCAAAATGTGTTATAACACTAGATCACATGTTATATTCATTAAGTCTAATATTTCCCGACAGTCAAAGATTACCATCAAGTTTGACCTGACAAAACAGTTTCAATTATTGATGGAAGGTGGCTGGCTGACGCACTTTTCGTCATATTTGGGACTGGTCAACTGGAAGTACCCGACTCCAGTGAGTGATGTTGTTCCAGCTATGATTTGAACCCATAACTATTAGTTTTAAACCCCAAAGCGTTATCCACTAGGTCACTGAGTCACGATAGCCATTCTTTGTGCAACGGCGATGGTATAGTTTCGATGTTATATCTTGTGAATCTCCGTAGTTTGTTGAATCGAATTAAATGGGAATATGGAGGCATCCGCAGAGGAGCCAATATGCCAATAACGGCTCATCACTTCGGTCCAATCAATGACGGAGTCTTACAAGCTTTAACACCAAAACAGTTTCGATTAGGCAATTCACGTAGCACGAACGAAGAAATACACTAAGTAAAATGTATGGGTAAATTCCTTATTGAATAGAAACCAATAAACTTCCGATATTCATAAGAAAGGTATATGTGAAAAATACTGGTATTTAGCACAATGTAGCTGGCGGTAGGGATTTAAATTGTTCTGTATTTACAGGATTAGTAACGAAATGTTCTAGATAACTTAGGGAACAGTTGTTTTTATAAATAGCAATTCATTTGATTTTAGCACCTTGGTAATTCACTAGACAGAAAAAAATGTAAACCATTGAGTTCCAATTCAATGTCTGAAGGGTAGTGTGTTCACCTAGAGATTAGAAGATTTTGAGCTTCATCTTTCGCAAGGTTGTGGCACAAATCTTTAAGGAGTCCCAAACTTTGACCAAACAGCGACCCGGTGCTATCAGGTTTTCAATTGTACTCCAACAGATATTATACCATGATGAATAGCATCTAGAAAACCGAACAGCCGGTAGAGACACACATCTGTAAGGCATGCGCATTAAAAGTACTACTAAAACTCTAGTAATACCAGCTACTCGTTGAATTATTATAGTTACTTTTTCCAATAACCCTGAAAACAAGGTTTACGGATATCTTAACCGATAAATATACCCATTTGAAAAATTCCATGCGACAATGTCCTGTCACTTATTTATTGTTCTAATATGGGTGACTGAAGATGCTAACCATAGTCTTAACTGATACAATTCTCAGGCTGGTATTCATCATGGACTGACATCAGTTGGGGAAGCATTGGAAGCCTAGGAGCACTGGACAGCTGTCTCGTCTTAGTATGGGAGTTTTTGGAAATACATACCCGTGATCCTAGCAGGGACCGAACCCACGACCTTAAGGTTCTGCAGCCAACGCGTTACATTGTGCTATTGGATTTGTACCCAATGGTCCACACTATCAGCTTCTCCCAGTTCACGATGAACATCAACCTGAAATGAATAATAATATCTCCATAAACCTCCACATTGATACAATTCTATCTGAATTACCAAGTTAGCCAGAAGCTGTGAATCCCTCCTCCTAGGTGTAGTTTTCAACAGCCAAGTGAAACTACAAACTGTTTACATGAGATGCATAACTTCGCTAAACATCGTTTACATACTTCTTATCATTATGCAGATTTGATCAAAATTGTAATCACCATTCTTGTACAGTAAATAAGTTGGTTTAAGTTACTGTTACTAAAAATATCAAGTTGATTCATACCAGCACTGAAGAAGAATCCAGTTTTTCCGTCGTTCATATTTCATTTTTTATTATCATTACTGTTTTTATCAAAATGTCCTTGTTCAATGGAATGTGTCAAAGGATGAACACTTTGAGTGTGTCCACCTACGCAAATACGCGAACTTTTTTCTTCATTTTAACTAAAAACCTAGCGTAGCACACTGATAATAGAAAATGAAGAATAGTAATTAACACTATCTAAAAGAGAGGAAGTTTGCAACCACGACATCTCAAAATCTCTATGGTCACGTCAAAAGTATAGTGTTATTAAGAGGAGTAGCGAGCAGGATAGATAGAAAAATCCTTTTATTATTATTTGTCCCTTGGGTTCCTAGTGGAACATAGACTTTCAGTAGCACGTCACCACTGCACTCTATTCTTGCAATCTTTTCAACCTGGCTCCACTACTGCCCACAAGCTTTCATATATTCCTCACATGGTCTAATCCTTGTCACTCTCCGATGCCCAACTCGTCATCTCCCATTTGAGTTCCACTCTTGGGCCTGGCGCATGACGTCCCCAATCGGCAATCTCCGTGTATGTCCAATCTAATCTATTCCATTTCCACTCTCTTCTGCATATTTGTTGGGTGATGGGTTCTTCGTCGATCTGCTCCCAGCTAGCCAGAGTTCCTTGTTACTTATTCTTAGTATTCTGGCCATTTGATCTGATCTTCAGTGTCAGTGTTGAGTGAGCGTAGGCGGCAGCTGTTCACGTATGTCTGCAGTTTGTTGGAAACGCTTTTCATACCGCGCCAAATCTCTCAACCATCACAAAGAAGCACTTACTTGACTGACATTCGTGTTGAAAATCCGGATCTTGTTCACGCTTTATGCTGAGTGCAGCATAGTGCAGTGCAGTTGATCTCCACACTGAATTCAGATTAATGGAGGTAGTCCTCTCTTGCTTTCCCGATCCTGGCCTTGCCACACTCATCTTTGCCGCCGCCTCTAGTTGAAACGATGCTGCTTCACCTAGGTAGGTGAAACAGACTAATTCCTTCACATTTCTCCAGTTGATGGTGATTGCTTCTTCTTCTTCTTCTTCTTCTTCTTCTTCTTGTTGGTTGTTTAGGCATCTTCATCACCTCTGTCTTCTCTATATTCACTTGAAGTCCCGTTCTCAATGCCTCTTCTGTCAACCTTTCGGATTTCGCCTGTAAACCTTCTAGTTTGTGTGACATTAGGCAAAAATCATCATCGGCGAAATCCAAATCTTTTCGGATCTTTCATTGGTCCAGCCAGCGTATACCCATCTTCTCGCTCCTCACGACTTGCCACATGATCCAGTCGACCACAATCACGAAGATCATCAGTGATAGTACACACCACTGTCTTGTCTTACTCCTGTCTTCACTTCAAAGGCGTCACTGAACTTTCCATTGTGAATCACTTGACATGTACCATCATCATATAGCTGCAGTTGAATGAGGTTGATAAAGGTTAGTGACACTAGAACGGTAGTGTTGAGGCAGCTGCCTGACAAATCACTTCTCGGTCGTCGCTATGCAAGGCCTTATCAAAGGAGACGAACTTGAGATAAAGATGCAGTTGACTGCCATTCTATACTCTGTTTTATGATGATTCGTAATGTAGCGTTGCAGTTTGATCCCGCACATGTTCTGTTCTTTCTGAAGCCAGCCTGCCATACAGCTCTGTTAATAAATTTGATTGTATAGCAATTTTCAGTCTCTCCAGAATGACGCGGCTTAATATACTGATTGAGGTAGACAGGAAGGAAGGCTGATTCCTTACCAGTTCGCGCAAGGACTTAGGTCACCCTTCATTGGGAGTTTGATAGGATGGCTCTTCTTCCAATCAATCTCCGGTTACCTTTCCTTCCTGCATTCCTTCCTTCCTTCCCTCCCTGAAAACTCTTTGCAATGGTGGTGTCAGCATGTTCACTGCTGATGTCTCTGCTTCTAATTTCAAGGCTTTCGGAGGAATTCCATCTGGTCCTGCTTCTTTCTGGGGTTACAGGAATTTTATCGCTTTCAGGAATTCACTTCTGCTTTCGTCGGAGAACTTGAGTTTACCGGTTGTTCTGCGGTTCCTGACAGTATTTTTGGACGAGTTGCAGGTGGTGGTGGTTCATCTTCTGCTTCACCATCTTCCTCTCCCTCCTCTATATGCTTCCATGTGTACGTGGAGATACACTTCTTGTCTCCTTTCTTCTCATACCTTCATAATACGGTTATGCAGGTTTATTTCCACATCTCTTTCAAGGAATTCCAGTGTTCTTCCACACAGGTTCCCTCACAGATGTTGCTCAATATCTCCCTCCCATTTTGTGCTCATGACTGACATGAAGATGTCCTTTGTAGTTTCGTCCTTCAGTTCAGTCCACTCTCTGTTCTGGGTGTTCAACTTCAACTGTGTTCATCTATCACCAACTTCTGTGAAGTCTTTCAACTTGATTTTGAAGGTTGCTTGCACTACATAGATAGTGAGTGGTGTCAACCATCTACCTCTCCTCTCCTTCATGATCTTGTGTTCAGTGGGCTGAATCTCCACTTTCTTCAGATTGCCTGTTCCCAGAGTTGCATTCATGTCATCCATTAGAATGTATTTTGATATCGTCATCATGGGGTGATGTCTT